TAGATGTTCTTACCATCATATTTCTGATTCCATTACAACATTAAACTATAATTCCAAAGAGTACTTTATTTCCAGTTGATGCTAATGTACTGCCTACAATTGCCTGGAGATGGTAAGGTAACAAAAGCACCAGTTACAAAAATTTAATGTGGCATCTTATTCATGTACTGGTATCACTATTGCATGCGCCTAAAAAACAGCTCCAAAGATAACATTATGAATGGCAAATCTTTATTTAGACCACAGCCACATCATATCTAGACTAGAGTAAAGTTTCTTTGGCATTTTGCAAGAGGAGCGGAACTGATATTAAGGTCTGTGCATTTCCTGTCCTATTTTATGTGTTGCCTGACAGGAAAAAAAATATCAATGTGCTGATGTATCAGGACTACTTCCTTATTCCTCCCACTAGCTCTGAGATCAATATTTGCACTGCTGTGGCCAGACTATACGCGAGAATGAGCTTTACGCCCACACCACAGCCAGAGCTGGAGGTCTGACAGCTACAAGGAGACAAACTGGGGTACTAATGCTGCTTGCGCCAGATGCATGATACATGCTCAGCTTAGATAGTGCTGCTAGTGGAGATTTGCCTGCACTGTCATAAGCAAGTAGGACTGTGGCAACCAACACAGCATTAGCTATAGATTTGAGTGATCGAAATTCTCAGGTCTCTTTATTAACTCAACTAGTGACTAGTCGCGTGGTTCTGGCACGCATACAGCAAAAGAGCACAAATCAAGACCACTAATGTGATCGCTGCCAATAAATGCAACAATCAGTGACACAATTTCATTTATTAAATATGCTATGAATCTGGCTATGTTCTCCCTGTGTTTGTATGGCTTTTCTCCAGATCCTGGAAAAAGTGAGTGGTCCTGTGAGAGGCTGGCAACACTGTCAGGGGTGTACCCTGCCTCTCGCCCTGTGGCAGCTGGGACACTTTTGTCATAGATGTTTAAGATCGAGCTCACTTTAAACAGTTTGTATTCTGTTTAGTCTACAGAAATGCATTATATCTCTTAAACGATATGCTTGTAGCGGCTGTTATATGTGGACATCAGCTCAGAAAGACAAGCCTACATCTTGATTTCAAAAGTATTTAAAAATACATTAAAAAATTATCTTGATCATTTATTTCAAACATCACAGTTGAAATAAATGGATTGTGCCCTGTGTGATGTGGTTATTACACTGGACACATTTTTAATGAAAAAAAAAGGCAGTGTAGTAGCGAAACTGCTGGTTAAACTTTGTATATTTGGTCAACCAAGATATTTTTCATACTTTTGCAATTTTTAATTGATGTTGATTTTTTTGATTTCACTAGATAATAACTGCTTGCTTTGGTTACTCTGATGATGACAGAGCGCCACTGGTGTGTGGCTAGTTGTGTAGTGCGACTTAAACAACACCATACGCTGTATGTTCCAATTTACCATTTGGAATTGAAATGTAATTTTTAGGCTGTTCTTCTGGTTTTATAGCTCAGTGCTATAAATTAATCCCATGTTACAGTGACATATTTAGCAGGCCCTTCAAAGGCCCATAAATCTGATGGTAGAGGCTGGTATGCATCGTGCAGTGAATGTGATAACTACTCATAACTGCCAAGCTGCTTTATCTCGCAGCTCTGTTTGTGCAGCAGAACAAAATTCTTTCCACAGTAAAACACAATCCTGTCATGTAGCTCCAAACCTTGCAACGCACTATCTCGCTCTGTGAAATGAATCACCATGGCAACACTCCACTATCTCTCTCTCTCTCTTTTTGCTCTCAAGTTCAACAAAACCAATTCTGCCTACACTTCAAGCAAATATCAGTGAATGTCATATCATAAGACATGTGCTCTTTTGGAGCCTCCTGGAGCCAAAAGGTCAAACACTGGAGCAAAAAGACTGTACAATCCAGCTGTCTGGGGAGTGTGTCACAGCTTATTTGAGATATATACAATTTAGTGCTATTAACAGCTACTAATCAAAGGTAAAAAATAAATAAATACAATACAACAAAATATTTAGAAAGAGACACTTTGGAGATGCAATGTTTTCACCTAACACAGACAGACAATCATTTGCACTCAAATTCACACCTAACAGCAATTTGGAATTACCAATTAACTCAACTCGTAACATGCATGGCTTTGGACTGTACCCAGAGCCACGCTAACATGAGGAGAACATGGAAAAGGCCCTGACCACACAGTGGATCTAAGATTCAAAGCGAAGATCGAAATTTTGCTTGTAAAAAACAGCATTTTTAGGCCATAAAGTTTTTCTCTGAGAACTGATTTTATTATCTTTCTCTCAGATGGGAAATCTCCTCCATGTTATTACACCAAGACTGGACTTTTTCTGAGAATTAAAGAGTCTATCAATGATCTTTACCGGGTAAACAACAGTTGTCTACATTTAGGAGTCTGGTAGACTGAGGGAGGAGGATGTGAAGGGATGGGGTGGGGTGATTAGAGGATTTGCTGTTATGCTTGTCAGCACTGTTGAGCTGTGTTACGGCTCCATCATGAATGTCACACCTACTCACTTCCAACTCACTGCAACCCCAGACAATTAAAAATTTACTGACACAGGACATTGTAAAGTAGTGGTTGAAATTACTTTGCAATATGCAAAGCTTGGTAGAAGTGTGGCCAAAGGGGGCCAGGTGAGGGTCTCTCACTAAACCTTTACTGTCCCCTATCGTTATCATATCAGTACCATATCATATAAGTGGGTAAAATTACAGATCAGACAGATCTATAAAAAACTATTCTGTCCTTACGTAAATGAAACTACAACAAAATAACAATTCAGTTTTAGCCTTTGGGGATGCACAATAGCAACTGGCTCAAGGCCCCTTATAGGTAAAGACATTAATACAGAGAAATCCCTAACAATGGGAAGACCTCCCTGAGAGCAAGCACTTTTAAATTTCATCTGGATTAAACAGGGAACAAATGCAGAGAGTATGGGAGAAACAAGCTCTCTCTTTCAAGTCCCTGTCAGTACCCTCACTCTAGCATTTTGGATCAACTGAAGGCTTTTCAGGCACTTTTAGAAGCTCTTGTGCTTGTTAATAGCAGATGCAAAACAAAATATCTTTAGTTTTGAATATGGACTCCCTCACATCTGCCTCAGTGTTAGCACCACTGGTGGTTACTCACTAGACATTGGACGTCGGCTAGATGTGCGGACTTGTCTATATATTGGTTCTGTTGGACTACGACCAATTCTGGACATCTGTACAACATCCAAACCAGGTCCACAATTTGGACGTCCAACCATGGCCCAACTTTGACATCAGTATAACGTTAACCATTTGAACTTTATACCAGGCCATTTTTTTGGACATCATCTGGACATCCATGATAGATGCAGGGAATTTACATGATTAGTAAATATAATATTTTTTGACTTACAAATATTAACAATGTTGTTATCAACATGATACATATGAATATGGATTATTTATAAACAAACACAATTTATTATGTGTTAGCCTGCTAAATTATTCAGTACCCATGTTTCTTTGTTGTTGTTATTTTACATTTTCCTGTTTGTCTTTAACTGGTTTATTTTAATTAATAGTCCAGACTATCTGCTCAACAGTCTTTGTTGATACACACATTTTTCAAGCTGCCTGTGAGAGGCTGAGGAGATTTCTATTTGAAACCCACTGTGGAACTGCTCACTTTTGTTTTTAGCTCAGGTGCCTGCCGTATCTTGGAGATGTCCGCTGATCACACCTTTACACATAACTGTTTCTTTACAGAAAACATGCCCTCCACCCTCTGGAAACATGGGACTACAGAGCCTATAGAAGCAGTACAAAAATGACGTCTAGAATGAGTCTGTTTGACTTTAAAAAGACGTCCACAGCCACACTTTAGCCTGTACACAGAGGTCGTACAGACGACAACACTAGACCTTCAAGAGATGTTGAACGAAAAAAAGACCTTGCCTGGTGTTACAAAACAACCTCTTCAGTGGACCAAAATTGGACGTCCAAAAATGACTTATAAAAGATGTCACTCCAATGACAGCTCTAAATGTTAGACTCATGACACACATCTCTGAAAATGCATAAAATGCATCTATAATATCAAAGCACGTCTAGGTCAGAGACCGAATGATTAACTAAAGGCGGCAGCTTTATTGCTGGAGAACGTTCGAACATAAAATACAAGAAAACTAAACTAGGAACTCAAAACAAGAAGCTCAAACTAGAAAACTGGGAAACAGAGAACCAGAAGCACGGAGGAAAAACACAACATGGTGAAGGTACAATGCAACAAAGGGCAAGGGAAAACACAAGGCTTAAATATACAAGGGAGTTAAGAGGGAATGGGAAACAGAAGGGAAACAAAGCTGAGATTAATCAGACATAACGAGACAAGGGGAAGCAAAACTAGATACACTGACATAGGGCACAGAATTTCAAAGTAAAATAGGAAACACAAATGGTAAAAATGGTCTGCATTTGTATAGCGGTTTTCTAGTCCCTAAGGACCCCAAAGCGCTTCACACTACATTCAGTCATTCACCCATTCACACACACATTCACACACTGGTGACGGCAAGCTACATTGTAGCCACAGCTGCCCTGGGGCGCACTGACAGAGGTGAGACAAGGACGAAGATGCAGACTAGACACTGAGACAGAGACACGACTGACTGGGAAGACAGAAGGAACATGGAGACAAGAGTGACAAGACGAGGAACACGAGAAAGGCAAAAGAACAGAAATATATCACAAGCAGAACCAAAATCCGTGAATATCAATAATCAAAGAATACAACTAAAACACACAAAACACTGGGTCACAGACCCAGTACCTTGACAGTTTGTGCTGCTGTAAATCTTGCTTGCAACATTCCTTTTACTACACAATGATTTAATGACCGCTAATGGAGAGCAGGTAAATGCAATATAATTAGTGTTGGTGGACTTGAGTATAATAGCTACACTCTGTGTTAGATGTGAAAAACAATGTTTTATACTCACCTCTGATCCTTGCTCCTGCACGTGGCAGGACTCGCTGTCTCCCTCTGAAAAGGAGCCCGACTCGTCACTAGAGTTGGTGCCATAGGACTGCTCACATTTGATCTTGGGCCTCACCTGGTTAAAAACAACCTCCCCTCCTACACTTTGCTCCTGCTGGTCCACATTGAGACAGCGAGCCACATTAGAGCATGGCGAAGAAGAAAACTCAAACTGGGGCAGGCTGCAGGGAGACCCTCCGCTGCCATCCTCTGCGTAGGAGTATGAGGAGCAGGAGCTGGAAGTTCTGGTGCGAGTCTCACAAGGTGGTGAGCGCGGGCATACTTTGATTGGCACTGGGCAGCTGGTGTTGGGCCTAGGGCGGCACAGGACTTGGGGCTCAGAAGAAGTGGTGCTGGGACAATAGGACTGGGAGGTGGGTAGGGAATGGCTAGCTCCAGCCCACAGCCCCTTTGTCATGTGCTCAGAGAGCTCAATCTCCAAAGAGTTCCCAACAGGGTAGGAATGCGCTGGGTTTCCCAGGCGATTGCAAGCCCCTGAGGAAAATATGACACTGCGGCGGTCGATTTCAACTTCCTGTTTGCAAACCCCATCGCAGGAAGTTGATTTGTGGGACAAACTAGCAGGAAAACCATCCACCTCTTTTGGGGATGCAACAGATAGAGCCACCTCCCCAGTGAAAGGGCCTAAGTCTTTTTTATGATCTCCCTGAGAGTTTCCTTTGTCCTGGGGGCAGATAAGTCTGTTGGCGAATAGCTGCTGTGACGTGTTGGGCAGACTGGAGATGTCAACTCCTTTCTTGAAGAAGGCTCGCAGGCAGGAAGGGGACTTGGGTCTCTTGGTTCTTTCTACAGATATAGGGTTATCCATCTCCATGGCTGTTATGACATCCGTATCCCTGGCGTCCTGCTCATCCCCTGACAGGCACAAAGGAATGGCCTCTTCCTCTGCCTGTGGTTCCACTTTGATCTGTGCCAAAGGCAGTGTGCCCTGATTTGCCACTGCCCCACTAATGGTGGTCTCCTTTAATGTGCTTGGAAAACCTGAGGTACTGGTATGTGAGGAGGAGTCATTATTGTGCTTGTTGCAAGCCCACTGGTATTTCCGGTACTTGGGGCATCGCGGCAGATCCGATGCTCCATGGCGATCGAAATCTGGCCGGCTATCTGTGAAGTTACCAGGCATAGCCATCGTTAGCCGATCGTTGTCGGGGTCTCGACACGAAGTAAGGGCATCTGCACAATGTCGGGCCATGGGGGAGGTGGGCCTTTCTGCTTCTGATTGCATGTTCTCATCCTCCAAGTTATTTGCTTCTCCTGCCACCTTGTGGCAAAGCAGCAAGCCGTCCTCCTCACTGCGCAGCTGAGCTTCCAGGAAGCGAAAGCATGAGTCCTCGAGGTTGTGCATGCGCAGGAATTCAGCACAGCGGATGACCTCCTGAATGTTTTCTCTGCTGAGTAACAGCTTAGCAGTGTAGGCAAACTGCAACAATGGGGCGAATCCTCTGGCAGTGACCTGCAAAAAACAGGGAAATTGCCAGCATTACTATCAGCGCAGCTATTGTTCAGAACACTTGGAGTGTGGTGAGACAAACTGACAGCTCCAATGACATACAAAAACACTGCAAAGTACTGGTTAATCTTTTTATTGGGCCAGCACTGAGCATTCTATACAGAAGTAAAAGAAGATCTGGTGCTATACTGGACGTAGGTACGTTGTGTCCATCTTTGTGCTCATAATACCAATCTGTGGGACATTCCAGCATCAACACGTCTGCTCCACAGTCATACAGAGTTGGCTTTGCCTACAGTCCTGCTACTGCTGTATTTGCAAAATTCTTATTTGCATTGAGATGTATAAACACATGCAGTGGTTTATGTTTAGTTACCTATTTTTACCCTTGACATGAGAACTATAAAACAAAGAGATAGCTGTACTTCAAAGCTATATGATAGTAATTCTTAAAATAATTAGCAACGATCTTCACAAACTGAACAGTAGATCATAGCGAAAGTGTCAATATTGATAATAAATGAATACTTTTTGGATAATAATACATAAAAACACTTTTCCTTTCACATTTTGTATGATTTCCGCCTATTCCCATTGTCACTATGTGGCATTGGCTAATAGAGGGAAGCTTTCCATTCCATGTTTGTATACTTTATGGAGATCAGCATTAGATTCACACTAGGTTGTGTTCAGCTCTTTACTCTGGCTCTACAAACCAATTCCTGCAGGTTAGGTTAGGTACATACAGGTTAGGTTACTTCACTGGTGACAAACACAGTGAAGGGAATGTGATAGAAGCTACTTTTGAGTGTCCATTAATGTAAAGTCTTTCTTAAAGGATTTAGCAGATGCTTGTAGATGAAAAACATGAGTAACACAATATGGGTTTAATAAGCCCAGTGTTTAGTTGTTTAGCTGTCTTTGCTGGGGGAAGCAAGAAGCTGAATTACCCATGGTATTCAGTGTGCTCGAATAGCAGTAGCTTCCAAAGGTCCTGCAGTCACTGTCAGACACCCCAGAGAGCAGCAGCAACAATCTGTTTTTTTATAAGGACTGTTGGGGAAACTGCTTTGACTACCAGTGCCTTAACACTTTACACTGGACTGGTTTTTATATGGCACTTTTCTACTCTTCCTAGCATTCAAAGGGCTTTATACAAGACACCTCATTCACGCCTTTAACACAAGAACCTTTTTTTTTTTTTTAGCTTAAATGCTTTCTAATATTCACACACATTCACACTCCGATGGAAGCATCAGAGAGCAACTTGGAGTCAGTATCCAGCATCTAAGGATATTTATTAGTAGAGTGGAGCAGCCAAGGTTTGAACCACCAACCCTCCGGATTTTGGCTTACCCAGGTAACTTCACCCTGGGTTTTCTGCACTACAAATGTGGTTCACTTCTTACAAGGGTAGATCCCCATGGATTTTTATTCTTTGTTTTCTTTTTTCTTCTGTTGGCGGCGAACAAATTTATAATAATTTTATTGTTCGCTATGATCCAAAAAAATGACTACGGTACTTGCTGACCTTACATCAAATTTGTACTAATTTGGAACTTTATATTTAGTCTTTACTCTCAAACCCTAAAAAAGCACATAGTCAAACTAAAACTGTCCGGAGCCCGTCATGTTCAGAATTTGGATTTAAAATCAGCTGAAAGAACCAAATTTTCTATGATTCTTTAAAAAAAAAATAACAGTATAAAAATACGTTGTTACACTTTACCAAAACCACAAAGTGCACTAAATGTGGTATATTAATGCTGTGTTCTACTGAATTCTACTTACCTCTTTCATACTCCTGGCAACAACAATACAGCAATACCTAACCCTCCTAATTAGTCACATTCATTTCACTTTGATGTGCGACAAACCGAGGTGATTTCCATGTCTCTTTTATCAGGCTGTGGGACAGTAAGTTTCAGTGTTTCAGTGGATCCACTTTACATTTTCAGAGCACTTTACATCACCTAAGAACCTAAAGCAACTAAAGCTGTTCATAAAAAGTAGTTCAAACAACTGTAAGAATATCAAATTGACAATGTACTTGTAATATAAACTAGATAGATAGATAATATAATACAATAAATATAATATACCAGCAAATAATGCCACTCAACTGAGTGTATTTCAGACTAAAAGAAAAAAGACACATAAAACAAAAATATTTAACTTTAGTTGTTTATTATGTCCATTACTCAATTAGCTACTCTGCAGAAAGAAGTCCAAGTAGGAGCAGTGTAGTATGTACATGTATATATATCTTGAGCTCATTTGTTGTATGGAATGAAGAAGATATAAACTGCCATGTATCGGGGTTTTTATCAGTCCAGCAAGTACGAGCTAGCAGAACAAATGTCAGAGAGAGTCTTACTCTTGCTTTGGATTATTTCTTGTTATACTACAGACCAACATATTTACAATTTAAGAACTTCCTAGAGTTTTCTAGAATTTTCCACTGCTCACATCCACATAGTTTAAATTAAAATTAGTGATTTCTTTGGCACACATCAGTGATAAATCAGTAACTATTTTAGGTTTCAGGTTCTTAACTAAGGACACTTTAGCATATAGACTGGAAAAGGTAAGTCTACCTCATGAATTACAGCACACGTATGCATTTTTTTTTTTATTAGTGGGCTATACAAACTTGTAATCAAATGTAATCAAACCTGTAGAAAATATAGAAACCATACTAAATAAAAAAATCAAATGTTTTGCTGGACTTAGTATTGTATGTTTGATTCTTTTCTGCGCTTATTGCTTAGATGGTCAAGTTGGTGTATTCCCTCCGTGTTTTCAATTTTGTTCATTTAGTCTCAGTGTGTTTATTTTATTTACTCAGTGTTCCTGACTTTTCCTTCTACGTCATTCCTCTATGCTAAGATTAGTTTTGTGTCTGCGTTCTCCTGTTTCATTATTGCTTCTTGCTTCCTGTTGTATTTTGGTGCCATTTGTCATTTTTGCATTGTGTTTATGGTAAATGTATGGGTTCTTATACTCATACTTCTCTACTCTACTTGAGACCACATTAACCAGACCACATGCCTAATTAATCCATTCATACCAATTTATACAAGCGCTTTTTTCTACACCTATTTGCTTTCTATCTACATTTATACTCTGATAAAACCATTGGGGAGCAACTCGGGGTTCAGTACCTTGCCCAAGTATACTTTAGCATGCAGACTGGAGCAGCCAGATACTGCACTGCTTGTTACTGGTTTGCGATTGATAACTAAATTTTATATTTAAAAAAAGATTGTAATGAAATGAAATACAGTGTAAAATGTTTATTTCATCACTAAATATATTAATGCAGTGTATGTTTTCAATTAAAGTTTATTACAGGTTTCCAAAAGATAATCCTTATTTGGGATTTTATGGAAGTTACATTTTGACTATTATAACAATAACATTTCATCTTTCATGGATCACTCTTCCTTAATTAAAACAAGTCTCTCTTACGACTAAATGACTTCACACTGTAAAAGCTCAACATTCTTCTCCAGAATTTTCAGCTGCCTTTTCACGACTAGAAATATATCCCAGTTGTGTTTCTGACTCAGCCTGTGTGACACTATTATATAGAGTTCCAATGTTAATGTCAATATTATATGAATAGAATTTATGCAAGTTTGACTTGCATAATTAGTTTAACTGAGTTTCTCTGTTGCTGTGACATGATTACAAATAGTCTTGTTTATGATCGATAGATATAAGTGTTTAGAATATGAATACCCATTACTTAGGTTACACCAATAATTTATTTTTAAAGTTTTTTTTTTTTAATGTGCACATTATCACAGTTTGCAGAAAAAAAAAACACTGCCCCAATGGTAAAAATTAGGACCAATCATTTAACTTGGCGGCTCTGCAGCTCTTAAAGATACATGACCAGCTGTCACAAAGTCAGTATAGTAACACATTAAAGCAACACCTGGAGTATTTTCCATCCACCTGAGGAAGCCTGTACTGAGAACAAGCACAAGTACAATCAAAAGAAAGATACATATACAAAAGATGTGTGAATTCTATAATATTTTAGTTTATCTGGTGACTTCTAAGACAGGTAATGGATGATGATTTATCCTTTTCAAAAAAAAGGTGTCTGCTTATCAAAACTTCAGCACAGTCCCAGAGTTGTCACAGAACTTTCAAGGGTCCTCAACACTGGATTAATGTAAACAGTTGGTGTAGGTGTAGTAATAGTTTTAATAGTTTTAAGAAACAAGAACACATTAGTCAGGATATACCCTTAGTTTAAGAATATATCCTGTACCTGCAGGGTACAGTGCAACTGCGTCTGGAAGCTATCCCTGTTTATCCAGTCTCCAGTCTGCTGCAATGCGCCTTAAAGTGGGTTCCTGCTCAACAGACTTCTGAGCACAATCACTGACATCAGTCATTGTTAAAAGCAAACTGCTGATGCTGTATCTGTGATGGTGAGTGTGCCTCTGCTAGAGTAAGTGTGAGTGCGTTCAACTGTGACAGATTGGGGTGGAGGGAGGGGCTTTGACTAGACTATCTGCTAATAAGCACAGCACAACTAATAAACAACATACTTCTGTATTTATCCAATAATGAACTTCAATAATGACAGACTGTGTGTCTTTTACACTGCTTCCGTTCTTGTTGCATCTTAAATCATCTTGATGACAGTATGTTAATTTCTGCATTATAAGGCTACTTTACAGATTTATTATCATAAAGTCACAATTCTGTAGGATAAGAACTTATCTGCCATTGCAGTGAGATAATTACACTTGTAAAAACTTCAAGGCAACAAAAACAAACCATGAACCCTACTCAAACCTCAAAAAGTAAAATAAAGTGCTGTATAGATGTATTGTTAAAATGTTGGTGTACCTCCACTTTTGTGCTTGCTGTCTGCTCTGGATGTGGCAGGATTGATTTCACTTTTGGCCAAATAAAAGGCCAGTTTTTTGTTGGAACAATCTGCCTCTTGTGTCCTGCACCTTTACACTCTGCACATCTGC